GTCGAAACAGACGGTTTGTACGACGAACCCACAGCGCAGATCTGAGCTGAGCGCCAGCCGGTGCACAAAGATCGCGCCGTGCAAGAAAATTTTGGGGTTTGCGATGAGGTGGATTCCGTCTTCGTCGCACTGCGCTTCTTGGATGAGGCGGCGCTCGGCGAACGCCTCGCGCATGGCGTTCGCGATCACGGGGTGCAGCACTTGTTGGTCGGGGTCTGCGAGCAACGACTCGACGCAAGCCACGGTGCGGATGTAGTTTTTGTAGAGCAGCGCACTGAGCTCGCTGCTTTCTTCAGACGATAGCCCCAGCGTCCCGCAGATGCGCTTGACTAGCCACTGTATGGCGTTGTCCGAGGCTTCGCTCCGCAGACTGAGGCTAGACCGCGAGTTTTGCATTTTTGCACCTTGGCAGCACACAGCTCGCAGTCGCGGCTGCGACCGAAAGGCGACTTAGGTTGACTGTATCGCGTTGCACGCTACCAGCGCGCCGCCGATACCCATTGAAGAGTCGATGTACTCGAAGCGAATGAGGCTCGCGCGCTCGGACCCAAGCACGGACTCGAGTGCTTCGGTTAGGTCGTTCATGTAGTCGTCGTATTTGCTGTAAAGCGATTTTTTCACAGCGATCACGAGGCCGCCGAGCGCGGACTGCAGCCGGCCAGTGCAGCCTGCGATGCCGGCAATCAGGATGCCGAGCAGCTTTGCAGAGCGGCGCAGAATGGCGCGAAACAGAGTGCGGATGCGGTGCAGCTGTTTGACGTCCGTGAGTTCCCAGTCGAGCATCTCTTTCGCCATGCAGCGCGCGAGCTCGTAGCTCTCGGATTTTTCGTATGCGACCAGGCAGCACGCTTCGGGCGTGAGCGAGTTGTACGCCCAAAGCAGCTCCGGCGCTTCGTTTCGAAATATGCGGAGCAGCGTGCGGCGGCAGATTTCGCCGAGATAGCTGCAACTGATCATCTTTTCAGCGATTTGCATGCCGGTGTTGGGGTCGGCCATGTCGATCTGCAGGTCGATAATGTTTTGCTTAAAGCCGGCGTAGTTTCCGCACTCGCTGTTGATCATCGTGCCGACAAATCCGTATTTCTTGCAGATTTTGTTGCTGAAGCAAATGTTCAGGCCGGTGCCGTTAATGAGCGACATGGAGCAGGCGGAGAAGCTGCGACGCTTCGTGATGTAAGCACCGGCGAGCAAAACGCACGAAGCGTCGTTGCACAGCGCAATCACCTCCAGCGGCACGTCGTGGCGGTCAAACGCCGCACTCATTAGCTCGCACAGGTCTGCGGAGTTCTCGAGCTGGTCGTTCGTTTGTCGGCCAGTCTCGAAGCCTTTGTTCAGCCGAATGAGCGTGCCCGACTGCAAGTCGAACTGCTCCACGCCGAAGCTGAAGCTAATGGTGCAGTAGAGCGGCGCGTTGGTGTCCGGGACTTCGACAGCTTCGACGAACTTTTTGACGTACAGCGAGATGACGTCGAAGAACTGGGTTGCCGTGACTCGCGGGTCTTTAAGTCCTTTAGAGTAGCCGAAGCTGCGGCCGAGCTCGTCAATGGGAATCACGTTGCTTTTTGTGCAAAAAGACTTGTCCGGCTTCAGCTCGCAGCAGTAGACTTGCAGGTCAGAGCCGGTCAAGTACACTGAGAAGTAATGGCCCGGTTCGCACCTGCGGTTGTTCAACGTAATGCATGTGTCGAGGAACTGCATTTTGTTCACCGGCTTTCTGGTCTTTAAGCTGGTCCAGCATGCCTCGGCAAAACATTTGAAGGCCTCCGCGCAGTACGCGTCTGTGACTTCAAACATTTTGTAGTACCTCTGAAACCGCTCATCGAGACTCTCCTCGACAACATGCTGTTTCTCGAAACTTTTAAGCTGTTTAACTGATTCCATTTTGGCTCTTGAGCTGATCAGTTTATATTTATGGTCAGAAAATAGTTTTGCACGCAGCGATAGAAGCCAAAAGTTTTCTACGTGTGATGATTTTTTCCAAGCCCGCCAGTTTCGCGTGAACCGCGGCCGCGCAGGCGTTCTGACGCGTCGTGCACGGCCGTGCAGGCGGCATACGGTAGTTTGCGAACCCAGTCAATCGCGAGTTGACCGTCTTCCTGCAACAAAGCGTTGGCCTTGTCGAAGCATTTCGACCCGACGAAGTTGCCCTTGGTCGAAAGCGGGCTGGGGTGCGAGGTGAGGATGACGGCGTGCTTGGCTTGATCTATGAGTTTGAGCTTGGTTTTCGCCTTGTTGCCCCACAGCAGAAAGACTACGCGGGGACCGGAGCGCGCATTGATGCGTGAGATAACGGAATCGGTGAAGCGCTCCCAGCCCCAGGAGCAGTGAGAGCCGGGTTTGTGCGCGGCGACCGTCAGCACGGTGTTCAACAAAAACACGCCCTGCGTGGCCCACTGCGAAAGGTCGCCGTTGCTGGTGTTCGGGTCCCCTGCTTCGCGCAAAATGCGCACCAAGCTCGGCGGGAGTCTTTTCGCGTAGCTCGAACTGACGCTGAACGCGAGGCCGTTGGCTTGGTTTTCGTTGTGGTAAGGGTCTTGGCCAATAATCACCACGCGAATTTTATCGATAGGGCACAGTTTGAACGCCTCGAAGACGCGTAACGCGGGCGGGAAAAAAGTTTGCGCGGTGGCTTGGCAGACGCGCAGTCGCTCTAGCAATTCAGTGCCCTTGTCTGAGCTCAAAAACGCTTCGATGTCGCATTTCCAAGAAGCGTGCACGCCCTCCAGAAGTACTTCCCGCATGGGACAGTGCGAGGCGGCGCAGTGGTTGGCGCACAGTCAGAAAATCAGCACGGTGGCGTAGGTCCACAGCGCGTAGCTCAGATCCAATTTATTCAATTTGTGCGTTGAATAATTGGTAAGGCGAACGTGTTGCGGTTTGTCCGCTAGCGGCTTGTACGTGAAGCTGCCGAACAAGACGAAGAAACGCGCATTTGCGCTGTTCGCGCACTCCGCTATCGCCGGCGTCTCGCTCAAATCGATGCTTCGCGTGATCCGAAGCACCAGCTCGTTGCGCGCGCTAAGCATCCTCGAAGTCAAAACGAAATAGCCCCTGCTGTAATATCGCTGGTTGTTGAGCGGCGCGGGCGCTCCGTGCTGCACGATGTTCTCAGCGCACGCCGCGGACGCAAACGACCGACGCTTAGTTGGGTGAAGGCGCGAAAGTGCTTCAACTTCGCACAGCATACGCCGCGAATACTTATTGTTCATAGAAAACCACTGCGGAACAAAATGCGCGGAGGTTCGCTTCTTGATCAAGTTCGCATTTTGACCTAATTATACGCATGATAAATTGTTTTTCTTTGAACTTGTTGATGTGCGCATTGATCAATTCCTGCACATAATGATTAGCAGCTAAATGCTTATTGGTTATGTGTGGCAGTTGCTGAACGGTAGATCTTTCCTGCGCTTACGATGCGACTAACGGTGTCCCGCGATTATACTTCAAGAAGCGCTACGTGGGATTCCAAGCCCGGCGAATGCGGCGCTTCCGCTTCGAAGCGCTCTTCGATGCATCGCAGCGAGAGTTATGTGGACGCTAGCTGGAACAGGAGGCTCGTCACCCACTCTCCGTGCTCGGTGGGCACCGTGGGCTTATCGGAGTACAGTGGCCTTTCGTCTAAGCAGACAAGCAAAGTTTCGAAGCTTTTGGCCGAAACGGAGGCGCGCGGCGCCGACACGCTTATTGTCTACAACAAACGGCTGCTGCAGCCGAGGACGCCGGCGAACGTTTCTAGCCGTATCAACTATTGGACCAACTCGGTGCGCACCGCGCGTTACTCCCTTTGGCTCTCACCAATTTCGCTGTTTATCGACCAGATCATGATTCCCACGAACCTGTTTTGCATCATGATGGGCTTTCTGCAGCTGATACCGGTCGTTTCGGACAGCAACGGCATTCCGACCTTCCTGCTGCCGTTGATTTTCGTGCTTGCTGTTTCGTTGTCTCGCGCCATGTGGGAAGAAATTTCGCGGCACCTCGCCGATCGCCGCGAAAACAATAAGCCTGTCAAGCGATGGAGCGGCCACGTGGATTTGGATTTTGAGGATGTCAAAAACTCGAGTTTAAAGCCGGGCGATATCATCCGAGTTAGCATTAACGAAGAGTTTCCTGCGGACGTAGTGTTGCTGTATAGCAGCGACAACTACGGCATCGCGTATATTAACACGCTGCAACTCGATGGAGAGACGAACACGAAGACCAAAACTTGCTTGCCGGACATCAGCGAGCGCACACTGTTGGAATACCAGCTGCGCGTGTCTTTCCCCGTTGTGAGCTCTGTGCTCAACTCTTTTACCGGCAGTCTTTCCCTACTGCTGAACAATGGCTGTAGAAACTCGTCGCATCACACTACTTTCGCGGCGCCGAGCTCGCTGATCATTCCAGAAGAAGCTTGCGGTTCTTGCTTTAACATTGATGACTACGCACTACGCAGAAATAGGTTTTTTATCGGAGACTATTTCAAGTATCGAAGGTTTCTAAATACGACTGCAGACTGCGATGCGATCATCGACGACGGAAAACGTATTTTGCAAAGATATCCATTAAGCATCAGCCAGTTCATTGCGCGCGGAAGCGTTTTACTGAACACGGAGTACGTAGTTGCGATCGTTGTTTACCCGGGCTCAAACTCGAAAATAATTCAAAACACGTACAAGATGCGTTCTAAGCGGAGCATCGTGGAGCAGAATTTCAGCAGATTTGTGCTCTTTATGTTCTACACTTTGCTGTTCTTGAGTTTGTTAGCTAGTTTGATGCACGTCTACAGCGTGCTGTCGACGCAAGCGCACGCGTGGTATCTTATGCCTGATAAGCTCAAAGGGCTTTCCGCAAATGCAGGCTCGCTCTCGTACAGCGTCGCTGTAACGCTAGGCCGTTACATTCTGCTGATGAGTTACTTAATTCCCATCACGATCAGCGTGCAGATCGAACTTGCTCGGTGCTTTGCAACTGGCCAAATTTGCATGAACGAGAACTTGAAAGGAGTCTCGGTAAACTCAATGCAAATTCTAGAAGATTTGGGTTCGGTTTCAAACATCTTTACGGACAAAACTGGCACTTTAACGTGCAACTGTATGCAGCTAGTTTCGATGCAAATCGGTTCTTACGTCTACGCCACGCAGCTTGAAGACTTGAAAAACAAAGAAAATAACTGTGTATCTGGGTCGAATCCGCTGTGTAGCGAGGACTGTTTGATGAGATCATTCTCGAAGCTTAATCAGCCTGATGACGAAACTACTCGGTTTTTCAGAAATGAAGACTCGTCGCTGAAGAGACTTACCGAGTTAAGAAACGGTGACGAGAACGACTCGGAGACGTTGTTCGTCTCACCAAATCGTTACGTTCATTTCAACGCTCTGGAGATTAGGAAATCGATAATAGTTGATAGCAAGTCGAATATCGAGGATTTCAAGCACTTCATTTTGATTCTAGGCCTGTGCCACACCGCTCTTCCCAAAAGCAGAGTGGCTTTTGAACACCTCCTTGAGCCGACGTTTTTGGATGAGTCGCGGTTTGGGTACAGGATTGGACTAACATCCATCGATCTTCCCGGTAACGTAGAGTACGACGCGTCTTCACCAGATGAAATTGCTTTAATTAGTGCTGCCAATCACTTAGGATTTGAATTTGTTTGTCGCCCGATGCTCAACGAAATCATGATAGCCATCACAAATGAAAACTTGTTGAATGTATTCTTGGTTCAAGAACAGATTGATTTTTTAAATGAGCAGCGGAAGAAATTTCCGGGAACGAACAGCTATGTAACAATTACGTTTCATCTGTTTGACATGCTCGAGTTCGACAGTGTTCGAAAAATGATGAGCGTTATTATTTTGACCAACGATAGAAACTACCTAATTTTGACGAAGGGCGCAGACACGAACATTCTGAAAAACGCCTCTGACCAGAATGAAAGTGGCGCATTCGATTTGTTGAATGATACTTTGCATAATTTCGCCTGCAGCGGACTGCGTACGCTGGTTTTTGCGTACCGAATAGTGTCAGAAGATACTGCAGCTTCGTATCTGGAGCAGCTCAGTTATGTGAAGTCGTGCACTTCAGCGCATCCAAGCGAGTTAGCCGCGATTAGCTCGCATATCGAATCTGACTTCTTGATTTTAGGCTGCACCGGTATAAACGACCGACTGCAAGATGATGTTCCACAGACTATACAGGCCTTTAAAGACGCCGGAATTAACATTTGGATGCTCACGGGAGACAAGGTGGAAACTGCGATTTCTGTGGCGCATAGCGCAAACTTGATGGATGAAAAAACCTTCAACGTGATCTTATCTGAAACAGATGTAACTTTGCTTAACCGTAAGATGGAGGAGTCCATGGCTTTTATTTTAGCAGGGCAATTAGCTTCCAACGCGCTAGACAAAATTATGCAGCAAAGGGATGATTGCACTCCTTCAAAGTACGTCGCAGAGCCAGGCGCTCATGTTGAACAGGAGAATGCTGAGCAAGAGAACGTTGGAACCACGAACCATGGCCAACGAAAATCGAATTGCGACTGCAGTAGATGCTCTCGAAGTGTAAACTGCGGTTGTACCTCGGTCTCCTTTTCGTTTTTGGCCAACACTACGCGTCTCGTTTCAAGTACCAAACGAATGGCTAACCAAACTATCACTATAAACTTTGCAGAGTTTATCAACATCTTGCGCAACGAAGGGCCGAAGAATCGCGTTAATGCGCCTTACAAAGGGCAAATCGTGAAACGTCAGCTCAACGCGCAAGAGATTGACTATTTGATCAACGTTTACATCAGTCATTTCCAGAACGTCGACCGCATTTCTGAAGGGGAGAAGACCGTTGAGAAGTGTCTTTCGACCAACCGAAACGGCTCTGGAACGAACCAGCGGGACAACACAGATTTGCTAGACATGAGTGTGGCTCTGGAGAACCGAACGAATTCAGCGGCAGCTACTGTGTATACTCTCGGTAACTCTCTCAACGAAATGCTGCGCAACTCTCAAGTCGAACGGTACAAAACTGTGAGTATCACTGTCACAGGCGACTGCTTGACTACGATTTTCGCGCACTCCTTCTCGCGTCAGTACTTTTTTGGACTTGCGTATCTCGCAAACGCGCTCGTTGCCTGCAGGCTTACTCCGGTCCAAAAGGCTGAGTTGATTTCACATTGCAAGAAGTACGCCCCAGGTGGCGTCACAACGTTAGCTGTTGGCGATGGAGCAAATGACTCGAGCATGATTGTGGAAGCTGACATAGGGATAGGTATACGCGGGAAGGAAGGCTCGCAGGCTGCGCGAGTTGCCGATGTGGCTTTGTCAAATTTCTCGCAAATGCGCACGCTGTTGTTCGCGCATGGCAACATTATTCAGCGGCGGCACTCGAACATGATTAATCTTACCTTGTACAAGAATGTTGTTAACGGTCTATGCTGCTTTATTTTTGGCTCCATCACTGGGTGGACTGCAACGAGTCTTTTCGACCCTTTGATGCGTCAGTTCGTTAACGTATTATTCACGCCTTGGTCAATTATGTGCATTGCCGTGTTCGAGCAACCGCTGCCGCGAAGTTTGTATTTCTCTTGTCCGTCGCTGTACTCGGGAACGAACGGAAAACGAACAATTAACACGAATGGACCGCCGATCTTATTTGCCTGGTTGGCGTACGGATGCATTACTTCTGTGATCTTGTACTATGTGATCATGCAGATCAATAACACAGCTGTAGCTTCGGACGGTTCCGTGATGTTCGACGCACGCTTGAGTGGCAACTTGGTGATGTTGGTGATGATCATTTTGAGTTCAGCGGTGACCGTGCCGTACACGACGGGGGTTTCGGCGTTGCATGTCACAGCATGGTTCTTCAACATCGGCTCCTACCTACTTTGTTGGTGCGTGTTTGACAAGATCGGATACATGCCGCATTCAATCAGCGTGTTCCGTTACGCTTCGACGTACATGGTTTTGTTCTTAGCGCTGTTATGTACTTTGTTATTGCTCTACGTGCCGTGGCGCTACCGCGTTACGTTCTGGCCGACTACAGAGATGATAGTTCGCGAGAGAGTGAAAAAAGGCGTTTTCGACGTCGCGTTATCGCTTTCACGCAAAAACAATGACGTCGTGGTGGTGCCTCGCCAGCCGAAAAACTACAAAGGCTTTGCCTACGACAGCTGCGACTCGCGATTCACGTTGCACCGCAAAAGTTTTTGTCGCGACAGCAATGCTTCGGATCAGTCGAGCGGTGTGCATGCGTACGCGGGGTAGCGCGCTGGCTGTTGCTGCTGTCTGTTTATTTAAGCTTTGTGTGAGCTATTTATATCTGCTATTTGTAAGCTTCAAAATGCAAATAGATCGGTACAGGCTGGAGTATTTGGAGCTCGAAGGGTTTAGGAAGTATAGAGATTTGCGAAGGTTTGAGTTTGCGGAATTGCGAACGGCACTTGTGGGTCGAAATGGGCGAGGCAAGTCCACTATTTTTAAAGCTTTGGAAGTGCTGTTCGATCAAAACTTGACGAATCTGACTCTCTCTCGATTTTTAACGAATGACCACCGCGAGCATTTACGCCGATGGGTAATTCGCGCAAATTTCGTGATCAACGAGTGCGATGGAACGATTGTGTTGGCTCGAGAGTTCAACTTGGATTCGTGCAAACGCGAGAGTTTTCACTTGAATGAGCGGAAAGTAACTCGTTCACGGTACTTCACTGAAGCTGCGCGGTTGAAGCGCAGCATTTGCTGGGTGAAGCAGAGCACGATAAGCTCGCTGCGCAGGTTCTCTTCTGAAAGCCTGCTATGTGAGCTCGACACTCGTTTGGGACGCGCCGATAGTTTGCGGCAACTAGACCAGCAATTAAAACGCATTGCAGACCTCACGAGCGTTAAGCTAGACGGCTCCTTACGCAAGGCTGCTGCGGAACTGCAGCATCGGCTTGCCATCGCTTCTCAGTTTGTGCAAGTGAAGGAAGACGATGGCATGGTGAAGTTGAAGCTGAAGCTTGCCGAGAATCAGTTGCAACAGAAGGAAATTGGCAAGTTGGAAAGCAGTCATGCAGCTTTGCAGCAGGAGCTCGATGAGCAGCTAGCGCAACTAAAGCGCATGAACGCTTTGATTGGCAGCGCGCACGAGATGTGCGAGTGCGAGCACAATGCAACTGCAGAGATTTGTTCGCAGCCGTCGCGGCAGTGCGAAACTCAGTCCGTCGCGGAGTGCTCTGTGATCACGAGACACAACGAGCTGTTGGACTCGCTGCGCGCAGAGCTTTCGCACATAGAAGAGCAGATCTGCAAACGCCAGGCGTTGCAAAGCAAGCTGCACAAAGCCTTGTCCGCGTTCGAGCACAGCGTCAACCAAAGACACACGGAGTCCACGTTCTCGAAGAACACCGAGGCGCTCCAGCAGCTCGAAGCGCAGCTGAGGCAAGTAACTACTGCTCAGAAACAAATGGAAAGATTGCTCCAACTGTGCAAAGAATGCACCGCCAAATACAACGACGACACTTTGGCTGCAGGACTCAGTGAGGACTTGGCTTCCTCCCTTGCGAAGCAGCGAGAACAACTGGAGGCGCGGCTAGAAGCGACTAGTCGCACGCTGCAAGCGCAGTCGGAGGAGTGCGCGAAGCTGCGAGAACTGAAAGAAAGATTTGCTGACGAAGAAATGGCGCAGTTAGACCTGAGCTTTACGGCGGTGGACATTAATCAGAAACTTGAGAGTCTCGCGCTGAGTTTTGAAGCTTCCTGGAATCGCGCGCAGTTTGTGTTCTTCAAGTCGTACTTAGGCAAATACTGTGGTGTCAGTGACGTGACGCAGATTCCTTTGTTCATTGAAGAAAGGCGCCACTCGTTCCTCGGCCCTTTATTGCTGCATCTGCACGTAGATCCTCAGTTCATTGAGCCAGTCTTATCGGCTTTGGGAGGCAAGTTGTTCGCATTTTTGGTGACCGGCGATGAGGCGCTCGTGAACGCAGAACGGCTGCGCACGGAATTGGGGTGCAGCGCGAGCTTGGCATTTCATTGCGTGAAAAGCGGACGTAGCAGCGCATCGCGGCGCACTAGCCCTGCTCGCGGTTTGAAAGACTGCGCGCGCTGCGCGTTCGTGCCGTACACAGGCCCGATCGAAAAATTCGATTTGCACGAGCACAAGTGCATCAACCTGGAGCGCTTAGCCAACGCAGAAGAGACAGGGGAAGTAGATAAGTTCATCAAGAACAACTTGAAAAGATTTGTGCTTGTCGACTCAGAAGTCACGGCTCGCGAATGCTTAGCGGCGGGCGCGGAAAGAAGCGTTGTGCTGCCAAACGGCAATGTTTTCGCCGCCCACCTCAACACTCTGGCTACCGCTTCGATTCAGAACGCGACGCGCTGCTACGCAGCATGGCAAAAGTTGCAGAGCGGGATCGCTGCCGAAGCATCCACATACTCTGCGGACGCCGAAGCAGTTCCCAGCAGTTCCGAAGATCTTAGATCTGGCCGGCGAAAAGTGACAAAGCACGCGCGAAGTAGAGCGCGCGACGCAGCAGCGGACGCAACTGAGTCGCGTTCTTCGGCCAGCACACTATCGGCACTAACCGAAGCTATAGAAATTTGGGAATCGAAGGTTGCGCGCCACGATGCTTATGCTTCGGTCTTGTACGACGAGACAGCTGCGCAGCTCACAACGATAGAGTCTGTGCTGGCGCAGATTGAGAAAGTGGGATGCGTGTCACCCGCGGATTTGCTGCAGCAGCAACGGCAGCTGCAGGCGAAGAGTGTAGAGCTGGAGGCGGCGATTCAAGTTTTGAAGACGGCGCGCGCCGGGGACCTGGCGAGGCGCAGCACGGCAAGAGGGATGGCACCCGACGCACTTTCTGAAGCAGAGGCGCAGCAGAACAGCAAAATGCGTAGGCGACTGGACCGGTGCGAAGCCGCGCTAGCAAGTCTGCGTGCCGCGCAGACGAAGACGCAGGAGAAGCTTGACTTACTGCAAACCTGCGAAGTAAGCAACGCGTTGCTCAACGCGGAGGTGAAGTTGATGCGCGTGGCGCAGCTGCAAGAGGCGCTGCTCGGCGTCAAGCAACGGCTGCAAAGCGCCAACGCTGCTGCAACAGGCGCAGCGGTGGACGAAAAGCTTTCGCGCGCTGCGCAAGTTGTGCAGCGACAACTGACGGCAATGCGCGAAGACGAACTGCGCGCTTTCGCGGAGGAACTTCGCAGCAGAGTTGTACCGCATGCGTCCGGCGGCCGCAAAGGCACCGAAGCAATGTTAGCCATCGTGGCGCAAGAGCTAGAAGAAGTTCAAGCCGCGTCGCGGACGCTCAGCGAACAGCTCGAGCAGTTTACGCGCTTCCTCCAGCACGAAAAAGAGCAAGTGAACCGGCGCTTCAAAGCGCAGGTCGAGGAACTGACTGCAAAGCTGAACCGTTTGCTGCATGAGCTGCGGTTCGGCGCCATCGACATTCAGGTGGTTTGCGTAGGCGGTGAGCTGCGAGTGGACCTGTACGTTAAGCGAGCCGGTGCAGCGCAGTTCACAGCGGACGTCTCGACGTTGAGCACGGGCGAGCGCACGATTCTCGCGCTGAGCCTGTTGCTGGTTGCGAACGAGCGGAACAACCTTGTGTTGCTAGACGAAGTCGACGCCGCGCTAGACGACGCGAACACTGAGTATATGAAGCGACTGATGCGACGCGACGACGTTCAGTTCGTCTTCGCTTCGCACAAAGCCGCGCTGCTGCAGCTGGCCGATGCCGTTGTGTCGGTCGATGAAGCGGAGGACAGCTGCCAAATGCCGGACGCGTCTCCGTTGCTGGAGCTCGAAGACTTGGAGCGCCGCGGCACTCCTGCAATTTTAGCTGTGTAAATTAGCTATAGCTCAACCGCGAGCCGTTGATGGCAGACTGCAACGTGCCGGCGAACTTCACGGGCGCCGACGGCGCGGAGTACGCATTTGTGCGCGCGGTAGACGACGACAGTATGTGCGCCACCTCGAGACGCAGACGACGTGATCGCCGCGTACAAGCTGACAGAGGAGATTTTCTCGGCAAGCAGTCCCAAAGACGACACACTGCAAGATCGCCGCACGCTTATGAAAAACAAGCCGGAGACGCAGTGGGCGCTGTACTACGAGCGCGAAGCCGAGTTCCGACATGGCGTCGCCGATGAGCAGCCGGAGCTCGAAGCATCGGGCAGGAAGATGACGGCGGAGCTGGAGAGCGATCTGATCGCGCTGCTTGCACAAGAGTTTGCGCGCAACCCCGACAAAGACGTAGATGACCCCGAGCTGGCGTTCCCGTCGCTGAGCGAGTACTACAATCGACTTTACAAGCTGTCGGACATCGAGGTGGACATCAACTACAATTCGGCAAGCGCGAACGAGCGCAGCATGCGCAACTACATCCGAAGGGTGCGGCAGCAACTGGCGTCGGCGAGCCAGCCTAGCAATCGTTCGCTACACGGTTAGGCGCTGGAGCTCCAGCCAGTTCAACGCAAGCTTAGGCCTCACGTGCGCAGTACTTTGCTCCGTAATTTTCACCGTGAGCTGCACGGCGTCCTTGCTGGAGTTTTTCCGCCACTCAACTGCGAAGCGCTGTCCGAGCACGTCGGGCAGCTTCCTGCCCTGCACGCTAATGTTCGTTCGCTGGCACACTGCGTCGAGACCCTTGCACGGCACGACAGTGATTGACTGCACGGGGACGTCGTCTAGAAAAAACAAGAGAGTGACGGGCGCGTGAACGTTCAGTATGTTGAACGAGCCGCGCACTCGATAGGTGTTCGGCTCGCCGTCGAGTTTGAGAGGCACAGCGAGCTCTCCTTGCTTCGCGAACCGTTCGGTGAGCACTTTGTTGCTGCGCAAATGCGGTTCTTTTAAAGTTTGCTCGTTTAAAAGCTCGTCCAGCCGATTCATGTCGAACAAGTCGCGCGTCGTCCAGTGGTTCTGAAGCTGGCCCGCTGTAAGACTCCTTGCATCTATTCGCTGCAGCTCCACTCTGCTGGACGCCTTTTCGGCGTTGTGCTTTAGCAGCACGCGGCCGTTCAGCAAAAGCAGCAAGTTATTGTTCTGGTCCATCCGCATCACGGCTTCAGATCGCGAGTCTTGGCCCGAGATCAGCCAGTTCAACTCGGCGTTTCTGCAGCCAGCGAGCCGCAGCGTCGTGTTCTCAGCAGCGAGCAGCGAGATCAGCGCGGCGAGCCTGAGCATGGCGCGTCGATCGGTCGCAGCGCGTTAATGTATTTCGGATTTAATTTTCTCGAGCCCTAAATCGCGTCGCTGCGCGCCACTTACAGTTCTTGTGTTCTTCGTACTGCTTTGCCACGTCGAACGTCGTCTCCACCAGCTGCGGCAGCGGCGTTGGCATCGGGTTGACCGCGGGGTCTAAAGCCTTCAAGTACTTCGCCGCGTTCAATATGAGCAAGCGGCGCTCGCCCGCCGCAAAGTTCGTGGTCTGCCTGTGCGCGCGGAAAACTTACAACTGCGCAAAGGTTTTTCAACAATTGGTAGTTGACTGCGTGCGCGGAGGCGCAACTTACTGGCATCAATTTTGTCCATCCGTAGCGCTGCCCAAAGCTCGAATTGGCGGCGCAGGCCGCTGAAGTGCAGATTCGCTGCCGCGCCACCAGCTCCGTCGCGGAAGCGCACGTGCGGAAAACTGCGGCGCGCGTGTGTCGACTTACTTTTTCTTGAGCGCCGCGAAGTACTCGAACACGTACTCGTGCGGTGGCGGCTGCAGTTCGGCGTGCGCAGTTTCGGCTTCGATGGCGGCCTTTAGCGCCTGCGCAGTCATCCACTCGGGCGCCAACACCTCTGCCACGCCGAACTCGACGAACGCATTGGCGATGAACATCGGCAGCAGCTGCTGATTGTCGACCTGGAACGGCCCCATGTCGCCCAAAAACGGCACGTTCAGCTGCGCGATGCTCGAGGTGAAACGCACCTCGATGTCCAGCAAGATCTCGGCGAAAAACTGCTGCTCCTCGGAAGTCTGCGCAGCACCCTGCGTGGACAGTTTGTCGAGCCAAGTGTTGCAGATGGTGCTGTTCATGCGCTAGTGCTTTTGCGGCGCGCGCGAGCGATCTACAGTGGCGTGATTTGCACCGCTAAAAATGGAGTAATTTAGAGCACGTAATTACTAAGACGGCCGAGAAGCGTTGCGCAGCGCGAGCGCCGCGTTCGCAAACTGTCCGCGAAGCGACGTGCGGCGGCGTCACGCGCAGCGCGCCGCGAAGCAGCGTGCCGCGGAAATGACGTGACGGAAACGCGCGGAAAAGACGGTAGCGCAGAAAGCTACTCTAGTTCCATGTAGCAAGCAGCTGCAGGCGCTCAATACGGATGAACCAAAAGCAAAACGAGCTTCTTGTAGACGATTTTTGCTAAAATATTAAAGTTTAAATTCCTCTTGAGCTTGTTTGGTGCCGAACCGCTGTGTAAGCGTTTCGGAGAGAGGGGTTTTCGGCGAATCGATCTGGGGCCATGTTTAAGTTGTGCGCCAATGAAGTAGCGGGAACGTTGGCTAAACTGGAGCACCGCGGTGGCGAACGGAAGGAGAGCTCCGTCTCGAACGACTCGTTCGAGTTTGTCGGTCTCGTGCGCATTTTGAAAGGCGTCGAGCGGCGAAACTGCGTGGCTCACGTGCTGACGCCGCGGAAGAACGTCGTGCAGGTCGCCCTTACGCCGAGCGTCGTGTTGCTCGCTGACAGAGCGGCGCGCAGCACTGCGAGCTCGTTCTGCGACGACACTGCGTCCAACTCTGTGCGTCTGAGCCTTTTCGAGTTGCTGGGACCTTCCGCTTGGCAGTACAACTTCTCACTGATATGCTTTGCAAGCAGCGAACAGGTCCGCATGGTTGCCGCGGAGTTGCTGACTACGCACAGGATTTTAGTGGCATCGTACGACGAAGCGACCAGCTCGGGCGTGATGTTTGCCAAAGCCGGCAAGAACAACGCTGTGGACTTACTAGAAGAAACTTTCTCGCAGTTTTGCATCCGCCAGTTGCAGAGTGACCGAGCGGAAGACAACAGCTTGACTTCTTCGATTTTAATGCATAACAACCCGACGCCAAAAGTGCGCGTCACCGAGAGGAAGCAACTTGCTGCGAACTACTCGGTCGAGTTTGCGATTCACGAGTCCGTGATAGGGTCGATCATTGGCAAGCAGGGCGAGAACCTCGCGAAGCTGTCGAAGAAATACAAAGCGGAAATCAAAGTTCTGCCGGCGGCGAACGGGACGCGCGTCATTCGCATCAACTCATACAACGCGCAGAACAACGCGAAGGTGCGTGAAGAAATCGAATACTTGTACTACCGCTTCGAATTCCCTTCGGCCGCAGTGCTGCAAGAGATCGAGGCGTTTTTCAAATCGGAAGAGATCGAGAAGAACTGTTTGTTTCCGGGGTTGCACTCCGCTTGGAGCAACGCTTCGAACAACGAACTCTATTTGTGCGGGCTGAAACGCGGACTGCAAAAGGCAATCAACTCGCTCAACCAGTTTCTGCAGGACCGACCCGTCGCGCCGCACTCGCAGTTGGCTTTTTAGCGCGAAAAGCCTGTCGCGCACAGAGCAGGCGCAGGCACCCCGGTCTCAACGTCCGTCGTCGAGGCAAACTCTTTTCGCGCACACCGGCAGCCACTGCGGAGTGGCGCGCCGAACTTTAGCGTGTAGCGCGAAACATACATTTTTATGGTCACACTTGCGCGGACAATGCCGCGCTGCGCATTGCGTCATTTTTTTTGTGAATACGGATTCGCAGGAGACGTCTTCCACAGTTTTTGCACGCGTTCCAACAGCTGCGAGCGTTTGAGCGTGGGAAATTCGGCGCGCAGCGCAGTGAACTGCGCGGCGCAGAACTCGTGGTAGATCGTCGACACTTTCTTTTTCGGAGGTGAGCCGGCGTCTCCAAAGCCGGAGTCCAAGCTGAGCGAGCGCAGCACATCATCTATCGAGTCGCCGCCCAGCTGCGTGACGCCTTCGAGCAGGTCGTTGTAACGCTCTTCGCGCTTCGCGTGGTTGATGTTGTCTTTCAGCAAGTGTTCCGTCGCGCTCTGTTGTTGCTCTTGCAGCTTTATGCGCCGCGTCTGCTCCGCTTGGCGTTGCAGCTGAAGCGCTGCGATCTGTGCGCGGGTGCGCTTAATAGGGCCTTCGGCTTGGCGGCGCGCGCCGGCCTGCGTCTGCAAAATTTCTTCCTCTTCAAGCTGCTTCTTGTCCTGTTTGCGCTCGAGTTTGCGCTGCTGCTTCTCCTCAGCTTCGCGTTTGCGCCGTTGTTTCTGCGCGAGGATCTTGTCGTCGTCGACCCACTGTAGGTCTTCTTTGGCTTTTTCTTCGAGCACCCGCTTCTCTTCGGCCGCGCTGCGCTTGCGCTCTTTCGCAGCAACGGCTCGCGAGTTCTGCCCTTTGAACGCCATTTAATTATTGAAGCAGCACGTAAATTTATTCGAGCGGCTCGCTCACGTGCTCTTCGCTAAGAACACTGTGAAGTTCGCGGAACCTTTTGATATGAAAGCGCCGACCCCGAATTCGCTCAGGGCGTCGGCTGCAAAGAACGCTTCGATTACTTTGCGATCGTTGAAGCGAAGGGCTGCAACGTCGTTCTGTAGCGTGAGCGCGCAGCGCACGCGCGGCTCGTCACTGTACAACCGCATTTCCGTAATGCTGCTGCTGGAGTCGAACGTTTCATCTCCGGTCTGAACGAGCGAGAACAACCTTATAGCGTAATAGTGGCGTTGGCGGGTTATTTTGACAGCGAGCTTCACGGAGCGCGTGTTGACCGGCAGCAAAACCACATCGGCAGAGTCTTCGAAGCTGATGTTTACTTTCCACGTAATGTGACGCGTCATGCAAACCCTCGTCTTCGCCTGAAAGTACGACAGCATTCCATTTCTCGTCGAGATCGTCATCGCTTTACCTTCTTCAGTCGAGCTGCCCGCGCCCTCGACAAATTCTGTCCGCGCGCGCGGATCGGAGGGCAGCAAATCATAGAATGGCTGCAGAAAGTCCACCGGTCCGTTTGACAAGTCGGCGCAAGCGTACCGGCGGCCGCGCTTGTCGCTGCTGTAGTTCCAATACTGGTTGTCCCTCGTCATCAGCTTAATCACGTCTTGGTCTTGCGCCAGGCTCTCATCCAACAGAACGCTACCAGCGTTCGCATCGTCCCAGACCGCGGCGGGCTTGATCTCGAGTTCAGAATCGAGGTTGTGCTTCGCGATCTGGTCCTCGAGCCGGCGAAGCGACGTTTTGTCTTTCGCGCTGCTGTTGATTAAGTACGCGTAAGAGCCGTAGGTCACTTTGCGAAACCGGACGGTCTCTGTGGGCTGCGCGACGAACATTCCGCAGTAGCCGCTCGCGTGCGGAGTGAAGCTCGGCGCCGACTGGTTCTCGGAGAGCGTGATGTCGATCGGCCGCACAATCAGTTTGTTGTTGAAGCTCAGTATCAGCAAAGAATCGTGCAGCTTCATTTGGACGTCGAACGCGCAGGTCGGCGTCTCTACGCCCTCGAAACTTTCCGCGAACAGCTCTGAAATGGTACCGTCGATTGCGACTGCGAACACGACTTCGACCGCGGCGCAGCTTTTCGGCGCCGAAAACGCGACGGAGTAGAAGTTGTTTTCGTCCACGAAGTTGAAAAACACGCCGGCGCGTCCCGTCTGCGGCACCGTCAAGTTGAGCTCGACGTACGTGTCGATGAACGGCCCTTTGCGCAGCACGAAGAACGAGTCGGGCGCCGCGTTGTGCATGTCGTCGTCGGCGGGCGTCATACACGCCGAGTGCGTCAGCACGAATTCTCCTTCTGTCTCGACCACTCGCCACGTCGCGCCCGCGCAGCGGCCGTGCAGCGCGTCCCATATGTTCCCGTACTCGGAGTAGCTAGTGCTGGCGAATAGGTCGGAAGAGCCCGTGTACTGCGGCGGGCGACCGGCCGAGTTCTCGAGCTTCTTAAGTTCCTGCTGCAACTTCTGCTTGAACCGCTGTGCGTGATCCAGGTTGCGAGCCGTGAGCTCCGTGAGCATCGTGCGGTGCGCGCGCGCAGCCTCTTCTGCAGCGGTGGTATCGGTGAGCAGTTTCTGCACGGCTCGGAACAACACGGAGAGCTGGTTAGGCGCCTTGACGACGTAGTGCAGCGACTGCGTGGCACGACTTAGCGCGCTTTCCAAGGATTTGCTCTTTTGCGCAGCATCTTTTTTCTGCAGCGCCTCAACCTCCGCGCGGAACTCTGACCAAAGAGTCACCGCCGAGGCCAGCTCGTTAGTGGCGTACGCGCCAATGCACTGGAAGCCGCGCAAAACGTCCAGCGTTTCCAGCCCGAGGTACTCGAAGTAGCCGCCTTTGGGCGATATTAAGTCTTGGCTGTACGCAAGCGCACACACGCTCTCAGCCGCAGCGTCCGCGCACGCGCTCTTGCAGTGCACCGTGAAGCTGCTTTTGAATTTCGCAAGAAAGGCGTCGAGCGTGGCGTACGAGTCTTCGCACGTCGCCTCGTAGATTTCGAAGTTGTAAGCTTTCTTCTTGTACATGTACCTCACGAGCACGAAGTGCGTTGCGGTCTTAAACCGCGACAAGCCGAACTGTGGCAGTGAGCGCAGCGATTCGTTGTAAGGTGTGTGCTGCACATCGCCGACGCGATGCTCGAGCAGGCCGCGGTACGTGGCGTGCGGGAACGATTTGACGTACAACACTTGCGGAAACTCGTGCTTCGTCGCGCTGCGCACCTCTTTGAGTCCGTTGGTCCGCAGCGGGTCTGCAGCGTTTGACGCGGTCGCGCCGCTAACGTACTGCGCTTCGTCGACGCTGATCGAGGTGAGAGAACTCGCGTAGCCGTAGCGCAGTTGCCCGTAGTTCAGATCGGTCACGGCGGGCGGATACAAAAAGACTGTACGCGCTGGCAGTGCAATCAGGCAAGTCTGTGTTTTGATGAGGTGGACAAGGCCGCCGCGCGGCGGCAAAAAGTTCCGCACGCTCGAGCAAACCGGCGCAGCGTCGCACAGATACCCATTCGGCAGCAATTGCGGCTGCTGAGCAGATTGCAAGCAGGCGGCGGGACAGAAGTAGTCGCCGGAAAGCCCTACTTGATCCGCGCGGGTTTCGCACGTCAGCTCGGCGTAGCCCGGCACGACGCAGCGGTCGAGTAGACGGTCATCCGGAAGGAGCAGAACGTCCCGCCGCTCGCCTTTCCTTAAAGGCCGCAACTTGACGAGCAACTTACGCGGAAGCGATTCAAACGTCGCCTCGATCTTGACCTGCGTGATTCCTTCAACGCGAAACGATGCAGACATCATCGCCTTCAGATAGCTGGTAAGTGCCATCGGCTTGTCGTACACCGCGACGCCGTTTACAGTTGCGACGATAGTCGCGGTGGAGCCGGTAAAGTCGAGGAAAAATTCGTTGGGGACGGCGACTACGTACGCGACTACCGTGACTCGTCTCCGGTTCTTTAGCTCGGCTGGCCAGCTGTCGGAGTTCCAGTTGGGCGCGCGCAGCCACACGATGTTGCCGTCGGAGTCAATTGACCGCACCACGACTCCCTGCGCGCCCGGCAGCAGATTCTGCGAATCGGACGCGTAGCTGTCGATCGCCAGGTCTTTGTACTCTGCTTCAGCCATCGTCGCCAGCGTTTCGAGCCCGTAGAACAGTTTGCGAAACTCCTCCCAGTCTGCAGCGTCGCTCACAGAGCCCTCTATGTCAGCGATTTCGATGGCGGCCAGCGAGCAGTCCAGCGTGACACACGTCGGGCCGAGCTGCGCAACATAGTTCTGTGTGAGCGGCTGGCACGGCTCTAGCAGCACGTTGCCCGAAGTTGAGCTCAGCGCAATACACTGGTTGCCGAAACCGTAGCGACGGAATGTTATCGAGGTCCACAGAGTAGCTGGCTCTGCGAGGCAGTTGCGGAGCGAGACCGAGGCTTCGGGCGTGTGCGCCAGACAGCGGTATTGGTGCGCACTGTCTTTAATGAAAAACAGTCGTGCCAGCGAGACGTGCGCGAGAGCGAACGACGCGAGCAGCCGCATGACGATTTGATCTGATCGAAAATATTAGTTAAGTAGCGCAAAGCGATATTTCGCTGAAATTTCCGTGCGGCCGGCTGATGTTGTAGTAGGTCTGAATGTTGCAGTGGTTTTTGACCATCTCGACGAAGCTCTCGTCGTGCGTGATGAGCAACATCTGAAAGTTGCGACTCTCTTTACGGAACTGCAACAGCCGGCAAATCGCGAGGGCGAGACTCTCGCAGTTCTTCGCGTCGAGGTTGGTCGTGGGTTCGTCGAGCGCAAAAATGCAAAAGTTCCGACAAAAGGTCTCTGCGAGCGCGAGGCGGATGATGAGACTCGCCACTACGCGCTGCCCGGCGCTGCAGCGGCCCTTCATCTTGATTACGCTTTTGTTCTTGTGCATCAGTATGCGGTAATTGTACGACTTGCTCGCCCACTCCACGTCACAGGCGATGCTGATCGCGTCTACGTCGTCGCCGGTGTAAATTTCCGCCCACAGCTCTTTGAGTGTCAGATTGACCTGTTTCATCATCTCCTGGTGGTACTGCATCAGGCACTTGTCCAGCGTGGCGGAGTAGGTGCCAATGTCGAGCATCAGCTGCCGCGCGAGCTCGCACTCGACGGCCAGCCGCTGGCTGTGCTTCTCGACGGAACCGCCGTAGCTCGCATCGATTTGCGCGCACTCTGCCTGCAGCTGCGCGACCGCGTCTTCCTTCACGCTGACCTTGGTCTCCAACACGACCAGCTCTTTGGCGGCCGCCTGCAGCTTGAGACGCGTTGCTGCAAGCTGCTCGTTCGCATTCTCGAACTCCGCGTCGCAGAGCGCGTTCTCTTTCGCGTCCCGCTCAATGAGCACTAGGCGGTTGAACAGCTCAAGAGCGTCGCTGCTGAACTCCGCGTGCTTGCTGCGCATGTCTTTGAGCAGCCTCTCGAGCAGACCGCGCTTCCGTCGCATCGCTTCGCGGCGGCTGAGCGTGCCTTCGAGCCGCGCCACCTGCTTCAAGTCCTCGGCCGCCTGCGCAAGCTGCGACGTCTCATCCGCCAAGGCACGCTGCGCGGCGAGCTCGCGCTGGAACAGAGCGTCTCGAGCCACAGCCGACGCAGCGGCCGCCGCGTTTGCCTCCGCCACGTCATCGGCCGTGACGGACCGCAGCGCTGCCAGCTGCGAAGTCGCGACGGTCACTTCAGTCTGCAAGTGCTTGCGTTTGCCGCGCAGCTCGGACAACCGCAGTTTGTTGTCGTGAGCGGCGACGAACGCCTTGCGCGCCTCGGCGAGCTGTTTCTCCAAACGCGCAATTTCTCTGTCGACGAGCGCGGTTTGCTCTTCAACGAAACATTGCAAGTCGTCAACCTGGGAGAGCTCAAAATCCGCCAGCGCGTCGAGACCGCGTCTGGTTCCAGAAGTGGCGGCGAGTTCTTCGCTG